CTTGTTCCTTCCTTTTGCTTCCTTTTACTTTAAACTTCCGGAACATCTTTAAAGGTCTAAGATCTCCGGTTACGGCTCGGTGCTGGAGATAGAACCGAAGGAAAATAAAAGAGGTCAGATCGTTTCCTCGACCGCTAGATGCTCAATTCGTTTTTGTGCCGCAGATCATATTACGATGCTCATTGCTCATGAGTTTCCGTTATAATAGTGAGGTCGTTAGAGATTCTATTTCTCATGCAGCAGCAGGCGAAATACTGATAATCCTCTCTGTTATAACGATGAGATTGATGGGACTTTGTCATGTCTGCACTCCAATCGAAAAATTTAGGTCCACATTTAGTCGATCTTTGAGGGTTGAATGCCGATTGGGGTTCAAGTCCAAGATTTTCAATATTTTCTAGAAATTCTAAATTTCCAATATTTTCAAATTGTTCAGGTTAAAAAATCATTAAAATTTTCAAAATTTCCATAATTTTCCAAATCTACATATATTCATAATTCTCCAAAAAAATTCATAATTTTCGAAATTTGCATTTTTGAAAATTCAAAAATTTTCAATTTTCATATATACAGGTATATATATATTTCATATATTTCGTATATTTCGTATATTTCGTATATTTCGTATATTTCGATATTTCGTATATTTCGTATATTTCGTAAATTTCGTATATTCGTAGATATATTCGTATACTCGTATATTTCGTATATTTCGTATATTTCTTATATTCGTATATTTCGTATATTTCGGATATTTCGTATATTCGTATATTTCGTATATTTCGTATATGATATTCGTATATTCGTATATGTATATTTCGTATATTTCGTATATTTCGTATATTTCGTATATTTCGTATATTTCGTATATTTCGTATATTTCGTATATTTCGTATATTTCGTATATTTTCGTATATTTCGTATATTTCGTTATATTTCGTATATTTCGTATATTCGTATATTTCGTATATTTCGTATATTTCGGTATATTTCGTATATTTCGTATATTTCGTATATTTCGTATATTTCGTATATTTCGTATATTTCGTATATTTCGTATATTTCGTATATTTCGTATATTTCGTATATTTCGTATATTTCGTATATTTCGTATATTTCGTATATTTCGTATATTTCGTATATTTCGTATATTTCGTATATTTCGTATATTTCGTATATTTCGTATATTCGATATTTCGTATATTTCGTATATTTCGTATATTTCGTATATTTCCGTATATTTCGTATATTCGTATATTTCGTATATTTCGTATATTTCGTATATTTCGTATATTTAGTATATTTCGTATATTTAGTATATTTCGTATATTTCGTATATTTCGTATATTTCGTATATTTCGTATATTCGTATATTTCGTATATTCGTATATTTCGTATATTTCGTATATTTCTTATATTTCGTATATTTCGTATATTTCGTATATTTCGTATATTCGTATATTTCGTATATTTCGTATATTTCGTATATTTCGTATCGTATTTCGTATATTTCGTATATTTCGTATATTTCGTATATTTCGTATATTTCGTATATTTCGTATATTTCGTATATTTCGTATATTCGTATATTTCGTATATTTCGTATATTTCGTATATTTCGTATATTTCGTATATTCGTATATTTCGTATATTTCGTATATTTCGTATATTTCGTATATTTCGTATATTTCGTATTTCGTATATTCGTATATTTCGTATATTTCGTATATTTCGTATATTTCGTATATTTCGTATATTTCGTATATTTCGTATATTTCGTATATTTCGTATATTTCGTATATTTCGTATATTTCGTATATTTCGTATATTTCGTATATTTCGTATATTTCGTATATTTCGTATATTTCGTATATTTCGTATATTTCGTATATTTCGTATATTCGTATATTTCGTATATTTCGTATATTCGTATATTTCGTATATTTCGTATATTCGTATATTTCGTATATTTCGTATATTTCGTATATTTCGTATATTTCGTATATTTCGTATATTTCGTATATTTCGTATATTTCGTATATTTCGTATATTTCGTATATTTCGTATATTTCGTATATTTCGTATATTTCGTATATTTCGTATATTTCGTTATATTCGTATATTTCGTATATTTCGTATATTTCGTATTCGTATATTTCGTATATTTCGTATATTCGTATATTTCGTATATTTCGTATATTTCGTATATTTCGTATATTTCGTATATTTCGTATATTTCGTATATTTCGTATATTTCGTATATTTCGTATATTTCGTATATTTCGTATATTTCGTATATTTTCGTATATTTCGTATATTTCGTATATTTCGTATATTTCGTATATTTCGTATATTTCGTATATTCGTATATTTCGTATATTTCGTATTCGTATATTCGTATATTTCGTATATTTTGTATGTTTCGTATATTTCGTATATTTCGTATATTTCGTATATTTCGTATATTTCTTATATTCCGTATATTTCGTATATTCATAATCATTTTCATAACATTTTAAAGTCCTTAACATTTCAAAAACTTGAAAAATTCGAAAAAGTCCAAAATTCTGTAAATTTTTCAAAATTACAAAATTTTCGACCTTATTGCTCCGCGCTTGGTAGGAATTTTTAATTACAATACACCAATTCTAACGATCTGCCGTTACCAACTATTTATAAATGCTACTTTTTATTTTGAAGGCTGTTGTAATATTTTTCATTCAGCTTGATATTTGATTTGTAAAAAGGTTAGCTGTAAGCAAAAACCAGTTGTACAAAGCCCCATAACCATAAACCTTATAGGGGGTGGCGCATCGAAAACCAAACAGACGCATTTACTGGCAGCTCAGTTTTTTTTGGAAAAACGCTCAGACCCGTCGATGTTGTTTTCGAGGGGGACACAAGTTTGGCAAAAAATCATGTTAACACGTGCAGCCCCCTGGGCGGGGGTGACACCAACCCTAAAATCTTAAATGGAAAGGGGGGTCGAGTGATACCTTATTTTAAAGGCCCTTAAAGTAGACTTCTTTAATAGGTACATCAGATTAGTTTGACTACTTGCAGAAGAAATTTGACTAAAAAAATTTACTTAATAGGTAAATGCTTTTCTCCACTACGCCCATGGTTTGTTTATTATTTTGTTGTTGAAAATAGCTATTGGGGCGTTTCTTCTATTTTAAATACGAATTTAGTACATAGTTTGCGATTACTTTGACCAAACTTTGTTGCTAAAATAACTTGTAACGCTTTAATACATAAATTAACCATGGTATATTCCACAGCAGAAATAGTTGAAATTATCGAAATATTTTTCGGAAATAATCAGTGCGCTAATAGAACAGCTGAAATATTTAATGACCGACATGAGAACAGTAACGTGTATCGAAAATATGTTCTAGAACTCGTAGCTAAATTTCGGGAAACTGGGTCAGTCGCCAATAAAAAACGCAACATTGAAAATCCCATAAGGTACGAAGCAATAGAAGTGGGGGTTTTAGGACAAGTTTATGTAGATCCTACGTTAAGACTGTGTGTGGTGTTAGTCGACGTACTGTCCAACGGATTCTAAAGGCCCATAGTTTTCATCCGTATAAAATTCACCTGGTACAAGAACTTAATGAAGACGATTTTGATCGGAGATTACAATTTTGTGAAGGTATGAGTGAACGAATTATAAACGATAGACATTTTCTATTAAACACTTGCCTTTCCGACGAATGTTCCTTTTTCTTAAATGGCGTAGTAAATCGTCATAACTGCCGATATTGGTCCGATTCTAATCCGATTCTAATCTAATTTTTGGCGATCATTTAGTTGGTCCTGTTTTCTTACCTGGAAATTTGACCGGTGAAATGTATTTGGAATTACTGGAAGATGCCATAGATCCTGTATTAACAGCCATAATTGAAAATCAGAATGATCGGCGGTACATTGCGAATAGGTTGATATTCCAACAGGATGGTGCCCCACCACATTACGCATTACGTGTTCGACAATATTTAGATCAGACGTTTCCAGATCGATGGATTGGTAGAAGACGTGCCATTGAATGGCCTCCAAGATCGCCAGATTTATCACCTTTGGATTTCTTTATGTTGTGTCATTTAAAAAGCAAAATCTATGCTACTCAGTCAACATCTTTAGAAGACCTGCGACAAAGAATTGTGAATGAGTGCCTTCAAATTACTCCTCAAATATTGCAAAATGCGCGGCAACATTTTGAGCAAAATCTTTATTATTGCATGGAGAGTCATGGTGGCCATTTTCAACATTTACTTGCCTAACGGGTCAGTTCATTCTTCATTTTTAAATTACTTTTGCTGCCAAATGTATTGGTCTCCACTATATGATGATGTATTAGTTTCATTTAAGCTTTAAATCAATAAATCTTCAAAACTACTGAACTGAAGTACATTAATTTTATATCATTACAAAGGGAATTGAAAGACCTTTAAAATAAGGTATAGGATTTTGGGGGTGGTGTCACCCTCGCCTAGGGGGCTGCACGTGCTAACGTGATTTTTTGCCAAACTTGTGTCCCCCTCGAAAACAAAATCGACGGGTCTGAGCGTTTTTAAAAGAAGTCTGAGCTGCCAGTAAATGCGTCTGTTTCGTTTTCGATGCGCCACCCTGTATAAAGAAGTTTGTTGAAAGCAAATTACACAGGGTGTCTCAATTCAAAATATTGAGGAATCCTTCATTTTGCCTTCTTGTACACTATCCAAGAAAACTGAAAAAGTAGTAGTAGTAAATTGGTTCACCACGTAGTTACATATAAATCTCCATGTAGAATTTAAAATACTTTCCTAGATGAGCACCCTGTTGGATACACTTTTTCTATTCAATTTGTTTAGGTACCATGCGCAGTGACTGAGTTATCGACCAGGCCCACATTAAGAATTCACTCTAAATGTAAGACCTCTCCAATGTCTAATATATAAAAATAAGCCTGAGATCAATGCTCAAACCTCGCGTACCTACGCCTACATAAGTGTGCGGATTCACACATTCTTGAACAGGAAAATATTTTTTGTGGAGGCAGTTCGTTTACTCAGTAGCTACACGTGTAGAGAATATTGAACAAGCGTCTTATAACGGTCTGTAAACATCAGAAGACGGAGTTTCTCGTAGCAATCTATATCTACACGTACGTTGTCGAACAGTCGAATGTTTGAGCTGCATGTGGCTTGCTTCTTCGTCTTGGAATATGTGCATTAAATAACTGCAGTTTGCTCCGGCTAAATACCATTTTTGATGAGCCTGTAGCATTCAAGGATAAGGCTAAATTCAGATGACGCGCGTTCGCCTGACAAGTAGCCTTGGAAATACCCAGAATCAATACTGTCTGTTCGCATGGATGTGCGTATCAGAAAATGTACGCGCATATACATTAATAATCACATTATAACCCCTCAAGTATTCGAATTTTCCAAATCTTTGGAAAGACACTAAAGTTTGCTCTGTCTTCAAATCGGCTGTTATAAATTACCGCTCGATTTGTATTTTAAATGATTTTGAACTTGTTCGAAACTATCATTTATATTCGAATCTATATTTTCAAGATTTTCAAAATCATCAATTTTCAAAAATTGAAAACAGGAGACCTTGTCTTTTCGACTTCATTGCACAACACTGGCTAGATTTAATCTACTCGTATAATGTAAATACACCAATTCAAATGACCAGAATGAAAAGTAATGTATTTCGTTCAGCTCGGTATCTGATTTACAAAAAGCTTAGCTGTAACTCAAAAACCCGTTGTATAAACCCCCATAAAGATTGTGAAAAGGAAAATTACCGAATGTCTTAATTAAAAATGTTGAGAAATCGTTCATTCTGCCTTCCTGACTTCTCTGTATAACTCATCCAAAAAAAACGAGGAAATAAAAAGATACGGTCAAAACAGGGGATTATAAAATTTTCTGACGAAAATTTGACTCATCTAGCTGTAACAGTTGTGGAGGTGCGAGTTGAATAATGTGAGCGTTCTTTCTGTTAAATTGTCCAATATTGAAAATAAAACTCTATAGTACATTATACAAATTTCTTCATTTCAAAGGGCCTATCCAACTCTGCAATAAAATGTGGGGCTTTCCATTCAAAAATGTATGTTTGGTACACCACGTAGTTATGAATCACCCTGTACAGTTGAAGTATTTTCAAAGCATACTGCTGGCTACACTTTTTTTTCAACTTTTTTGGATACGAGTAATAACCAAGTTATCGACCGCGTGATAATTCTGATAATTATTTAAAATTGTAAAAGTTTTGAAAATTTTAAAAAAATTCAAACTTGAAAATTTTGAAACTTGTGAATTTTGCAAATTTTTCGGGATTATCCGAAATACATTTTTATAAATAACCGAATCTGTACGGAGTTGATTTACCTCCATTTGACGCTGTAAACGGCGGTACGCGCGACCCGGTCTAGGGACAGTTTTTGCACGTTAGTTGTATCCAGTAGCATACCATTTCTTCGAGCATTGTTTCCCCGCGAAAGAAGCCATAACATCACAATTTGCGATGGCACTCGTTCAAAAGAAACCAGCGCAATCTTAAGTAGAGGATTTCGCAGAATGGAAACAGAGCGTAACCGGAGCGAAAAACCATCTTAGCCGCGGAGTGAGTTTAATTTAAAAATGCACTCTCTGTTTAAGCTGCTTTCTGTATTTCCTTGGCAACCTCCACCTACAATCGGACGGCGATAGCAGCTTGTCCCTCTTTAAAAATGCAGTCAAAGTACGGTTCCGTAGATACTTGGTTTTCGTCTTGAAAAAGGGCACATCCTCAATGTGTAAAGCAATGGTTTCATTTTTATAACGTGCGTTTCGTTTCGTCGCGATTGGAAATACCTAAGATGAAGTAGGTATTGATATCGCCAAAAAGACTGATAATGGGATATTATGTTTTTTAGATGTCAGCAGTCACCGTTCACTGAAAATAAATTTCAAGTACATCTCTGTCACTTTTGATCTGACCGACGAGCAGGACCGGATTAGATTTTGTTTAGGTATGATTTACTTATGGAACATCTCGGCAATCTCAAGAGTTTGGCGGATATGTTACTTGAAACAACTGCTTATTTCCCAAGATCTATACGCCTGGTAAATGTAAGTCCCAACTTTGAGGACACCCTGTATTCATGCGCTCACAGCCCCGCTAATTTTACGTACCTATTAGTACATATATCATAGAACAGATGATAGCGTTGCGCTGGAAGTGCAGAGTCAAAAACTACTTGATACCATTTGCTACTTTGATACCGCTATGTCAACAAGCTTTGTTCCTCAGAGCTCTCCTCCATGATGCCGCCGCGCGTTGAGCCAGCCAGACGGACCCGCCAGGCTTTTGCCTCCTGTCGCAAATCTGTCGAACTTCATATATCGATAACTGGCCGGTATGACCGCTCCTTCGTTCCTCGCGTGCCAAGATTGTGGAACTGTCTGCTTCCCAGTTCTACTAATCTTAATCAGTTCAAAAGTCGGATTAATAAGGCGTCTTTAAGTCGCGGTGCTCCGGTATTTAGGTTTCTGTCTACGCGACAGCTTCGGTATAAAAAAGTATGCCTTTAAAATTTAAAGATCATTAGAAACTGGTAAACAAATCACTTCTGATCCAAACCACTCTACTACTTCAATACTTTACTAATATACTAAATAAATTTATTTTTAACATGATAATACAAAATAATTATTATGATGATTTTTAATGCACGCGGTATCTATATACGACCAAATCCTGTCATACATACATTCAAAAACTTGTATGCGTAAAAAAACACACCTGTTATTTGCGCTCACGTAGACTGTATATTCCAACTTCATGTTTTTCATATGCTGTAAAGCCCACATGTTTTGTTTAAATTAAAATGCAAATGCTTCCGACTATCTCCCCCCGTTTTTTATTACATTTTTTCCGGCAGTTAGAGTGCTTCCTCCTGAAATCGGACGTGTCAGCACTATGGAGGAGGACATATTAACACAAGCCATCCCTTATTCATGAGATACATATTCTGGGCAAACTTATCTGCTTCAAATGATACACAATGTATCCTAAATATGATTCTACATCATTTTGATTTGCTTTTACTTCCCATACATAACCGAGACTTCTGTTGTGAGAAGTATAATACTTATACAGGGCGGCGCATCGAAAACGAAACACAGCTACAAGTTCTAGAACATATTTTCGATGCACGTTATTATTCTCATGTCGCTCATTAAATATTTCTGCTGTTCTATTAGCGCACTGATTATTTCCGAAAAATATTTGGATAATTTCAACTCTTTCTGCTGTGGAATATACCATGGTTAATTTATGTAATAAACCGTTACAAGTTATTTTAGCAACAAAGTTTGGTCAAATCAATCGCAAACTATGTACTAAATTCCTATTTAAAATAAGTACGAGATATTTCCTTATCTATCTTCAAGAAATAACTTTTTTGCCACAAAAAACGTTCCAATAGCTATTTTCAACAACAAAATGATAAACAAACCATGGGCGTAGTGAAGAAAAGCATTTGCTTACTAAGTAAATTCTTTTACACAAATTTCTTCTGAAAGTAGTACAAACTAATCCGATGTACCTATTAAAGTCTACTTTAAGCTTTAAATCCATAAATCTTCAAAACTACTGAACTGAAGCTCATGTATTTTACATCATTATAAAGGGAAATAAGGTATCACTCGACCCCCCTTCCCATTTAAGACTTTAGGGTTGGTGTCACCCCCGCCCAGGGGGCTGCACGAGTTAATGTGATTTTTTGCCAAACTCGTGTCTTCCTCGAAAACAAAACCGACGGATCTGGGCGTTTTTCCAAAAAAAACTGAGATGCCAGTAAATGCGTCTGTTTCGTTTTCGATGCGCCACCCTGTATATACTCAGCAGAGGCGAATTTAAGGTGACGTATGAAAAAAAATATCTTTCTAACTTCCATGCCTTTAAGAATGATGGAAGCATGTCCAGGAGCTAAAGTGAGGCTGAGGTAGGAGTAGCCTAGCTTCGTAGGAAAGGTTGGCGCAAGACTCGTCCAAAAATAGGGTCCAAGGAATGAGATCCAGAAATAGAAGTGGTTCAAAAGCTTCAGTAAGCGGGTGGACCCTCATATGAAAAATGGTTGGATGCCTTAGATGTGTATTTTATGGCATCGGCACCTTCAGGCCTCGCTCTGCATAAAAAAATGAACGTACAATTTTCTAGGTTACAATAGTTATTGTATAAATTAATGAAATCAAACAAAGATACTTAGAAATGACTTGAGCCAGCAAAAGCATGAAATGTGATAATCTAAATTCAAAATCTGCAATGCTTCTGTGAATTCCTCAAATAAAACATGTAGAATTTCATAATTGCTTAAAATAAAGTATGAAAAATATATAGAGGTGAAATTTGTAGCATAATTTGGGCAAAATTATGCATGATTAGAATATTTACAAATCTGGGCGTTTTTCCAAAAAAAAACTGAGCTGTCAGTAAATGCGTCTCTTTCGTTTTCGATGCGCCACCCTTTATATACTCAGCAGAGGCGAATTTAAGGTGACGTATGAAAAAAAATATCTTTCTAACTTCCATGCCTTTAAGAATGATGGAAGCATGTCCAGGAGCTAAAGTGAGGCTGAGGTAGGAGTAGCCTAGCTTCGTAGGAAAGGTTGGCGCAAGACTCGTCCAAAAATAGGATCCAAGGAATGAGATCCTGAAATAGAAGTGGTTCAAAAGCTTCAGTAAGCGGGTGGACCCTCATATGAAAAATGATTGGATGCGTTAGAAGTGTGTTTTATGACATAGGTACCTTCAGGCCTCGCTCTTCAAATGAACGTACAATTTTCTAGGTTACAATAGTTATTGTATAAATTGATGAAATCAAACAAAGATACTTAGAAATGCCGTCGACAAAATAAAATAATGAGCCAGCAAAAGCATGAAATATGATAATCTAAATTCAAAATCTGCAATGCTTCTGTGAATTCCTCAAATAAAACATGTAGAATTTCATAATTGCTTAAAATAA